CTTGCATTTCGTGGTCATACTGAGGACATAACCTCAAATGAAAACCCTGGAAATTTCCTGTACTTTTGCAGTTTTTAAAAAAGTATGATCCAGTAATGAGAGAGCATTTAGAGCGTGTTAAAAACAAGCAAACATCAACATATTTCTCCTGAAATCCAAAATGAGTTTATAAATCTCATAGCCTCACATAAGCAAAATTATTGTTTGTCAGCAATTTGTAGAAACAAATACTATGCTATTCTGTTGAGAACCTCAGTGACTCAAGAATGACTTAGTAACTTGGCAATATTAAGTATTGAAAAAGATGTACTTAATACCTTAAATTTTGATAGTTTAATTGATGCATTTGCAGCAGCAAAAGAACGAAAGGTTCATATAATGTAACCATGAATACCAGAATGCTACCTGTACAAGATCTAGTTAAGTATATGTTGAGTTTTGTAAACTCAAGTAGTATTTTATCAGTCTGTTTTATAATCCATGTACACCACAAGTGACTGGCTTCTCATATAAAACATAAGTTTCAAAACTAGGGATATAACAGAAATTTATTCTGCATGCTTGAAAGATTACTCTAGCTATATGACTTTGAACAATACTGGATGACATAAATATCAAAATGGTTTACAAATTATGTAAGTACACCTAGTAGGCTATACTTCATTAGTTCCAGGTTTACAGTTGTGATATCATGAGATGTTATATTGTGACTTTATTTTAGACCTGTGTAGGTTATAAGTTGCAAAATGTGCATGTACAAGCTTCAAAAGAAGAATTTATACATATAGAGAAATTGGATAAAGAATAATCTCCCTGGACCATGGATCACAAATTTAACATGTCTATAGCCTCAGATAATGCCCTTGAAAGACACTTGAAAAGTAGGAACAATCAGTGGCGTAGTAAGGGTTCTCAGCACTCGGGGGCAGAGACACTTTTGGTGCCCCCACCTCTGAAATGTTTTGATTATTTGTTTTGTGACTCGTTACCCACTTAATGACAATAACATAAAGAATTAATTACTGCTTTGTTGTTTCATTCCTTTTGGTATAATCATATACAACACAATTTTTTCTTCATTCTCAATTTATTATCCCTTCTTACTTATCTTTGTCTTCTACACAGTTATTTTTTGACTTTTTGTAAAATGGTTTTGGCTGGTTTCTATGCCTGTTATGGACAAGTATTTTACCTTGTTGGCATCTACTGTTGGAAGGTTTCTTCAAACAAAGATTACAAAGGTTTTCCCATGAATTAATTTCATAATCTTCTTCTGTAAATGTTTTTATCAATATAAAAGTTTGACATGTACTAGTTTTGTTGTGTATTTTCATTTGGAAATTTCTTTTGATCCATTTACATCCCCAGAGTCTGCCTTTAACAGATGATCAGTAATCCCAGATTCTTTCTCCACTTCAATAAATAATGCTACTTTCTATTTATTTTTTATTAGTAAACATTAATTTATTATTAGCAACTATGAATTTATTTGTGTCACTATAATTTATTTTTTTAATTTTCCTTTTTACTTTCAGGATGATCCATTTATGGCAAAATTCAAAAAACTAAACATAGCTTTAACAGGAATCATTGAAGATTACAGTCTTGTTTCATTCGTTCCTCTTAACATACAGGTAAAGCTACCAGAAAATAACATTAGTAAGGTATTTTAAACATAATAGTGAAGCTATGGAATTATTTATAACCTACATTTGTAAAACTAAGTACAAAAGAACTAATATAAAATATGCCAAATCTGAAACAAGACAAATTTATCTTTGTTAGTTTTTATTGGAGGTATAGTAGAATCTCAATTTACAGGCACTTTGAAAAAATGGGCACTGCACCATTGAGTGCAGCAAACCTTTTCAGTCTATTTCTTTTTTCTACTATTTGTGACTAAAATAAATCGTACAATGGGCACCTCAATATTCTGGATTAGGGGCAGCATCTTTAGTCTTGTTCAGGCAGCTATCTTTGTATGCCTGTATGGTATATTACTAAATTCCAAACATCTTAGAAGGATGACCAATTTTTATTGGATCAGCTCTGAACCACATACTGTAATAAACGTTTTCACAGATTCAAAGTGCAATTTTATTACTCTGAGGAATTCTTTTTGTGAACACTGTAGGATACATAAGCTGATAAATTCCACATCATGTTCTTGGAGCAGAGGTCAAATCTGCTTATTTCTGTGCACGTGCTTTGTTGCTTTTGAAAGTATCATATTACAGTGTTACATAAACAGTCTAATGACACAAATGGTGATTTGATGACAGGAAAATAAACACAGTAAATAAATGTGAAATGTTTAGTAGTTCAAACTCTGAAGAGAAGTACTTTGAAACTTTGTGACCAATAATAAAGAAAAAGGCGGCCCAGCTAATCTAACCCCTAAGACCTCCTGTTGACAATGCTTCATGTCATGGAAATGTGCAACTCATGAACACCCCTGTCCTGCATACACCAAACAAAATGGGGGCTTTAAAATTCAGAAATTTAGTATGATTAACATGGAATCCAGCTTTGTGTGGTTTATTTTATATATTAAGGACAGCTTGCTATAGAGGGCATTTGAACGCAGTTGGAAGGGTGCCCTTAATGTTGAGGTTCTACTGCATTCATGGTAAATTTGATGTATGATTTCAAATAATTAAGACATAATGAATAATATCTTTGTTTAAAGTCAGAAGTAAGTGTTCCTGGATTATGTGTTTTTATCTGTATTCTCTAGAAATGGAGAAATAAGTCAGAATTGATTTATGTAGAGTATTATATCATGTGACACATTAGTTTTCTCTGTTATTAATTAACTCTCATGTTGTATTTGTGCATTGTATTATTAATATACCATGTGTTGTGGCAAAGTTTATGTATAAAAGGGCTTGTTCTATGGTATGTAACTGTGTATATATGTACACAGAGAAACATACTGTTTTTGTATTGTTTCTTCTTCTTCCAAACACTTCAATCGACCACCATTTCTTCATTTCTCACAGATTGACTTGAAACACCCAGACACCTTTTCATTTTTTGATTTAGACCTTTTTTTAAGGATTTTATGGAGTCAAAGAGTCAAACAACATCAAAATGTATATTTTGGGCTCATGTGTGGACATATTTCCAGCAATCAAAATGACAAATGGCACAAATATAAATTTTCATGCACCAAACACATTGACATATAAAAAAAATTGGATTTGCCCATTTTGAGTTGTTTTTTTAGGGGGTCAGAGTTACCAAAAAAAAGCATAATTTCAAGGTTTATGGTCAATTACTTGGCCATATTTTGACTAATTTACATGGGATTTAGTACTAAGATACTTTTCCTACATGTTGACAAACAAAAATAGTGGACTTGCCAATTTTAAGTAATTATAAGGAAGTCAAGATGCCACAGAAATTATAATTTTAAGATTTTTTGATAATTACTCCATCATATTTCAGCCAATTTATGTGGGATTTGGTACAAAGATGCTTTTTTTACAAGTCCCATACATAAACATACAAAAAATGTGGGCTATGTCCATCTGTGGTCATTTTAGGGGGGTCAAAAGGTTAAATAAACCAATAATTTTTGTAGTTTGGTCAATTACTTTGTTATGTTTTAAACAATTTACACAGAATTTAGTAGAGAAATCAATTTTGCAGGTCCCAAACATAGGTATAAGTAATTTGGGAATTTTTGTCTTTTGCTCAATTTTTTAATGAGGAAAGTACAATTTGGAGTTTTAGTGAACTATTCATGTGTATGTCGACCAACTTACATGGGATTTGGTACAAAGATACCTTCTTGCGGGTCCCAAGTAATGATATAGACAGTTTTTGATTTTTTTGTGTAATTCACAATTATTCTGGCGTTAAGATTTGCCATGTGATTCAGTATACAGAGGGTTATGTTTTAAATGATAAGTAATGATATAGACAGTTTTTGATTTTTTGTGTTTTTCACAATTATTCTGGTGTTAAGATTTGCCATGTGATTCAGTATACAGAGGGTTATGTTTTAAATGATAAGTAATGATATAGACAGTTTTTGATTTTTTGTGTTTTTCACAGTTATTCTGGTGTTAAGATTTGCCATGTGATTCAGTATACAGAGGGTTATGTTTTAAATGATAAGTAACAATAGATAAGTAATGATATAGACAGTTTTTGATTTTTTGTGTTTTTCACAATTATTCTGGTGTTAAGATTTGCCACGTGATTCAGTATACAGAGGGTTATGTTTTAAATGATAAGTAATGATATATAGACAGTTTTTGATTTTTTGTGTTTTTCACAATTATTCTGGTGTTAAGATTTGCCATGTGATTCAGAATACCGTTTTAAATATTCCATAAGTTTTGTAATTTTTAAGTATTGTTTAATCAATTGCTCTTAAATTTTTTCAGGAAAAGAGAAGTATGTTCAATGTTTTAAGTGCTGCAGACAAAGCAAATGGTTACATTTTTGGACAGAATGAAGAAAGGAACATTTTTTCTTTGCTTTCTGTTGCAATGAGAGCCAATTTAGATAGCTGTGAAGAAGGCGAAGTTCAGGATATAAGTGAATAGTGAGTGGCAGACTACTCAAAGAATCGGATCAAGAAAAAGAAGCTGGTCAAATAAATGTATTGCTCATTCAGTGAGGAAGTAGAAGTAACATGAAGCTAATGAATGTTCTTTTATCAGAAAGATAGGCCTGTATGTTTTAATGGAGCTGGTTTACCAATATTGCTGCCACAAGATACTCAGTCTGAGTAAAAGAAATAGGTAATTGTAAATGAAATGGAACATATAAAAATATATTACCATAATTTACCTGATTAATCCATAAACTTTATCATTGAGAAATTCCTTTTTGATCAATTGATACTAGTTTTTAGAAGTGGCTAGGGTTTGACCTTGCAGT